ATTTGAAAGTACACAACCGAAGAAAACATCTGCCCCTTCCTTCAGACTTCCTTACAGAGCCCCTCCTCCAACACACACGAACGCGCACATGACCAATGAGGGCACGAGATAAATTTGTGCACGAGATGGAAGGCTGACAGGCAGGTAGGCCATCCAATTATCTGCCGCGGGCCGAGGCAGATAATTGGTCGTGCTTTTTACAGCGCCACGGCTTCCACAGATGAAATGTTTTTATGTATTTATTGTCAAAGCATTTAATGTATTCATTGCTATCGGGATGTTAAGAGCATTCCATGGAATATAACAAACAGTGTTTCTGAAGTGAATTACCTACCCCACCTTTAATACATAACCTTTTGTGAGTTAGTTAAAGCTGTTCCATCATTAATTATTTCTTTATTAGTAAGTGACCAAAAGGCTTGTTGGCCTCGTGCATTACGCTGCGCAGAAATGGCCATTTCCTTCAATAAAGCTGCTATTTCGGTAAAGCCCAGTTTGTTTTGCACTGTATCAAATATTTGTTTTTCTCTGGCTGTAAGAGACTAGTTTTGTTTTCATTGGCCCTGAATGCTGTGAAATGTACCATGACACAGGTACGCCTCTTAAGAAGAACTCAAAAGCAAAACTGATTTGTATAGTGTGGAGTGAAAGAGGAAATAAAGTCATCCTAAGGAAAGAAGCTGCTCTGTAGTGTGGTGCTACAGCAATGGTTATTTCTGTATCTCTTGCTAGACGGTAGCTAGGTAAACAGGCGGTGGCCGTGTTTGGTTTATCTTTTAATATCTTGTGGGCTCTCAGCAGGCACCTCTTCTCCTGAAAGTCACTGATTCAATGTAGATATTCCAATGATGTTCGGTGCAGTTTTAATCACTCGCTGCAGAGCTCTCCCGTCCTGCGCTGTGCACGTCCCATGCTAGTTTGTAATGATCCCAGTCAGAATGAGTTATATTGCTCCTCTGTAAAAGTGTATAACTTGGTATACAGTATAGGGGAATGTTGCCTTTTCAAATAAATAGTTCACCATGGAAGATGGAGATGTGGGAGGATCATGATGTCCTGGATTGTAATGCTGATTCTGAGGAAATCAAGTATTATGTATTGTATTATACAATAAGCAGTAGCTTGTTTATTTGATCACCACTGCAAGATTGTTCATTTCCTCCCTTTGTGAAGTGGGGTCATTGTTTGTAATCAGGTCGATAATGGCAAACTGGTTAGGGGCCTATAGGCTGACTGGGATGTTGTTTTTGACGGCCTGGAGAACAAGTTTCTCTAGCCACTGTTGTCAACACAACACTTTGAAACCGTAGTGTTTTTTATTGGTTTAAAGCTGCTATAATCAATATATTTGAATTAACAATGGATGACATAACCAAGTGCAAGTGAAAAGGATGGATTAATCAACAGGTTATTGTCATCCAATTCTGCAATTCCTCTCAGCTTTACAGCGCAGTTTATATTCTTTAGGCTTTTTGTCTTCAGGCACACTACTGTATTGATTTGGTTTACTCTTGGTAATCTCATCAGTGCTGTTTTTAGGTGAAGGCTGTGAAAAGGCTAGAAAGACACTCTGTACACTGCCTAGCATCAAACACATGAGAAAATAGTGAGCATCGACATGGCTCTGGACTATCTGCGCAACGTGTCCATCAGCAATGTTTCCAACTTTCCTTTGATGGGTGTTCTGTTTGATTTATTGGCATTTAGCAGCTAAGGAGCCAGATGTTTAATTGAGGAGATGGTGGAGACCAAAGACAGAGTTATAGGAAGGCAAGGCAAGTTTATTTATATACTGTAGCACATTTCAACACAAGGCAATTCAAAGTGCTTTACAAAAATGAAAGACATTAAGAGCATTCATTTCATTTCATTTTTTTCATTTCAATCTTTATTTCTAACAGATTAAAAAAATAACAAATAAAAAATAACAAATGTGAAAAACAGAATACCGTATTGTTAAAATACAGTATTTATCCACATTCATGATAATATTTATATATTCAACAAAAAAAAGTCTTCATATTAATAATAATAATAATAAATCATATGTGTCCGAAAGGGAGCAGGAGGAAGCAAATGCTTATTAATTCCCACCCCTTACTTGATCAATGATGTCCTTTAAATCATTATGCAAGTTATTCCTACTTACATTTACATTTATACATACATATACAATAATTTCTCATCTTCAATCACCTCTCTTCATTCTCATAGTTTTCCCAACAAGAAAATTAAGCATTAAGAAACATATTATGAAATGACATTTAAAAACACTCATTTAAAAGCAAAGATACATGAATAAAAGTTACAGTGCAGTGTGAGATACACACATCTGAAATGTTTAGCACTGACTTTCAATCATTGCTAACTTTTTAGTAGAAATAGTTTTCTATCACCTCCCTTTCTTTCTACTTTCTTGTTTAACTTGTCCTTGAGGCCCCGGCTCCACGAGGACGAAAACGGGTTGAATCCGCATATTTCTCATGCGTATAGCCCTCTAAGCTCGACGACGCCGTAAGGGAAACGTAGAAACAGACCCCGCAGATAGATCTGGGAACGGAGCGCTCTGGGGGGGGTCCAACGGGGCCGTGGAGTCGCCTATACGGTGTTGGAGCAGAACACCTCTGCTACGCGCCGTTCGTTGGATGAGGCTGGATCTCTATTAAATTAAGAAAGGAATTGAAAACACCGGAATCAAAAGTTATAACAATTATCTGAGTTTACTGGTAGGAAATAGAACAAGTATACAAGTTATACAGAGTACTCCGGGTACTCCGGGATTTCAGGTTTGTGATGCGATGCAGATAAATGCGACGGGATCAAACCAACTCATCAAACCAAAAAGAAATTGGACTTCAGGTTTGTGATGCGATTCGGACACAGATATCGGGACCAACCAACTCACCAAACCAAAAAGCATTTTTACACTCAAAAACATCAGTATTCATATCCCTATTTTGGGGCGGAGATGTGTTGAATTGTTCCCTTCCCCTTTTATTCGACAGCGAATTAGAGAGCCCCTGGGGAGGAGCTGTTTAAACTGCTCACCTCCCCCAAGTGTCCTGATTGGCTGGATTCACTTCTGGTCGAGGTCAATCAGAGTTCCGAACAGAGAGTGAGATCCTAAATTTCACCAGGTCAAAAGTCAACGTTTATCTCCACCTTATCTACACCACATTCCCTTCCCATGCGTTCTTCACCTATTTAACGATGTCTTTAACGACTTAAAAACAGCATCTGGCTTTTAGGGATGATAAGAAGCGATGTTGGTGTGGGACACACAGAATCTCTAAGTCAGTGAGTTGTGATTACATAAAACAGTTCAAACGATACATGTTCACTAAAATACAATTCAAAATAATACATGTTTACTTCAATACAGTGTAGAATCATATCTTTTACTTCAACGGTCATTCGTTTTCATTAGCCCCGCCTCTCCCCCGCAGGGTTGCTATCGTGCTCCAGTCGCTACTGACCATGCTACAGTTCTTTGTGCAACATCTACAGGAGCTCCTCCTTGAATTCAGATTATTTATCTTTATCTCGATATGGACATAAACGCGAGTGAAGTCTAATCTGACAGGACGGAGACACGCAGCTCCTGCCGTTGTGATGCAGCGGGAGCAAAACACACACTTCAAGTCAGATCATCACCCTTAGCTATTTTAATTACCTCTCAAACTACCTAAACTAGTTATAAATATGTTCATTTTTACTGTCGGGTCACTCATTACAGGATCAGCTGCTGCATGAGACAGACACTGACGCTGTCAGAAGAGAGGAAAAAGAGACAGGCTCCGTGTATTTGATGATTATATATCATTATATCGTCGTTATTCATTTGTTTTAAAGCTCAATAATAACAATGAAGACCTTTGACCGGCACTTGTTTCATGCTAAACGAACCCCCCTTTGGAAAATTCTAATCTGACCCCATGGTACCTTTTTAGTTTTCGCCGAAACTATTCCTCTTTTTTTTTGTATGCACATAGTTAAGTTTACCTTGTCTTTCTTAGGAAGAGTGAATGTTGGAAAAACATTTGTCAGGTGGACACAAGCACGACTCGCTGGATATGTAAATGGCCAACACTGTGCGAACAGATTTTTTATAGCAATTCTAGTAATATAATGTAAATATTATGTCTGTACAGTTAATTTCATAGCCTCTAAGTATCAGTCTTTTTATTGGACACTTGAATTCTTCTAGCATCTTAGCATAGATTCATTCGGGCAAAGCAGTTATCCTTTTGGGTTTCCCCTTAACCTGTTAAACCCCACGGACCCGCCGAAGGGTCCGAAAATGCGACATATTTTAGCACTAGTGTGATCTCTGAAGTGTCATTTATGAAACTATTAATGTTCCACACCCAGCTGACGGGAAGAAATTCAGCTAACTGACACACAATTTTTTTTTCAAAAATTGAAAAAAAAAAATCCACAAGAAGCCTTTCAATGAGCCCTTAGCAAAGACGGACTAATGCTATTGCTGCTCATAACTCACAAAAACAATCATTTATAATTAATATTTTCTGCACAAACAACACATCAATTGAAAGCTGAGATTCCACATAATCCATGGGTATATACACCCCATCACTGCAGGCAATAATTCACTGAGCTAGCAGCCAGAACATAGCAAATAAACAACATCAGTTTTCAAATCCATGACAATAATTAGGTCTTACCTTGGCTCTTTTGTGATCAAAAGTTGTGTTCAACGGAATAAAAACGCTGCTCAAGGTTAATCCAATGTCTCTTAGTCACTTCAGAATTGTTTCTGATAATCAATCCTTTCATTCATGGTAGGTAAAGTAGGTACAAAGATTAGGAGTCCCTGGCTTCAGCTGCTCGACATGCAGTTTACGCATAGCTCCCCCTCCCCCGCCGTAAAGTATTTACGTATTTTCCAACTGCCACTCGATTCCCATTGGCTCTAACGATTCAAAAAAGGTGTAAATCACGCAAATCGACCAATGGGTTCCAGAGATAGGGTCCTGCGTAAGTGTACATCAGGCCAGTATATGCTGCTTACTCACACTCCTGCTACGTTTCTTACGCAGCAGCACCACCTTGAGAGGAGCGCAGATCAGCGGCACAGCGAGACAGCAGGATTACCAGCGAAACAGCCGGATTTGTTTTATTTCTTGATTTGAACAATGGCAGCCAGAAAGAAGACTTTATTGTCCATCCAGGAGGCATTGGAAATGGTATTTGAGGACTCTCCGTCGGAAGATAGTGATCTTATCACGCATCGAGGGGACAGTAATGACTCCGATTATGAAGTTCCACCAACGGAAAGGTATGTAATCTCTCTGTTTGTATCTATTACTTATTTATTTGGTGTAAGAGTATTCATCTGTTTTTATCTTTTAGTTATTTATTTGGTGTTAGAGTATTCGTCTATAGTAATTTCACACGGTAAAAATAACACAACGGCATCCATCTTGTGATCTAATGTTATTTCACACACTCGACAACAAACAAATAAAATGGATGCCGTTTATTGTTCAAAGACTAGAAATAAACAAGACATTAGAAAATATACATGTTGAATTTAACACGGTATTATATATATATATATATATATATATATATATATATAAAATATACATATATATATATATCTATATATATATATCTATATAGAAATATATATATATACATATATAATATATATTATATATATATCTATAAAGTATACTATATATATATAGCTATAGATATACTATTATATATAGATATCTATATCTCTCTCAATCTCACTATCTCTCTTAACTCTCTCTCTCTATATCTCTATATCAACCCAACCTCATATATATCTATCTCTATATACATACAAATATATATAAAACACATACAAATATATATATATATAAATAACACATAAAATATATATCATATATAAAACTATATATATATATATATATATTATAAATATACACATACAATATAATATATATATCTCTATAATATATAAATATACATATATAAATATGACGGACGGAATATTAAATATTGAACAGATTATATTGATATAATCTGTTCCCCCGTCTCACATAATTTACATTACTGTTGTTGTAGAGAAATTATTTCTGATTTGAGTTACATTTTTGAAAGTACAAGCCAGTGAATTAATCTATTTGTTTGTTCCACATTTGTTTTCACAGTGAGGAAGACGATAATGAAATGGCTTCTGGATCACAGCCATCAACGTCTGCGTCCAAGCTACAACGCCAATCAAAGCAGCATTCAGAGCCAGCCACACCTAAATTACGACGCCGGGCATCTGCTTCAGTAGTAATTCAGCCTGCCTCTGCATCTTCTGATGAAGATGCACCATTTGAGCCACCGTGCAAAAGAAAAGGAAAGAGAAAAGCATCCAAAAAAGCTGTAGCACCCAGCAAGCGTGGCCGAGGTGCGTCTTCCAGAACGACAGAGGAAGAACCCAAGTGGCACAGCAAAGAGGAGAATGACATATGTCCAGAGCCATTGAGGTTCATGCCAGCCAGGATCCCAGGGCCTACGTTTGACACCACAGCATTATGGTCTCCCCTCTCCCTCTTCAGACTATTTTTTTCCAATACCGTGATTAATAGAATTGAGACAATCCCTTTTTTTTTCTTTCAAATAAACGTAGCTCTGTAGCTCTCTATACCTGAATGCATGTTCGTGTTCCCCAACCTGCTCTGCAATATTCCCACAGTTATCCTCTTTCATGTATTCAAAGCAGATCAAACTGCTGCTCCCTGGGAGGAATGTGTCATGGGATCTGCATGGAGGCTCTATCCTGTGCTAATGGTAGCAGCTGCTCTGAGAGGCCTATTTGTGATCACTTCATGTGAGTCACTGAGTGCTCTTCAAATGTATTGGCTATAGCAACACAACAGCACAGCTTCAGGTGAGTTGATGCTGTGAATGTGCGCTGGAAAAGATATTCTTTATTATTCTGCAACAGAAGGATTAAAGCAGCTGATTTCCAAAGCTGGATCTCAGAAGCTCTTGAATTTAAACTTTATTAATTGATTGTGTTTGTGTGAATTGTTGGATACAAAGGAGCTTTATTATATCTCAAGGTAATCAGCTTCCTGTCACAAAGTCTACCTTGATCCCTTGATAAATTCACTAAATGCTTTCAAGTCGCCTAATCCCTGCGCACTCATTTCATTTCCATCTTGTTCTCCCGCGTTTTGCTTTGGTGTGACATCAAAGAGGTGGCACTACAAACACACTGCATTCCTCTTTCAAGTAAGGGCAGATAATAGTACAAGATTACTGCCAAAACCCATTTGTCCAAGTGCATTAGACTAACTGTGGAAACTTGACAGCAGCCAGGCTTATAAGATCAGAGGCTCTGCTTTGAATTACACCTGCGCACAGAAGATTGCTTTGACAGAAAAGTTACATAAATATCAAAAAAGATAAAGCCAACAGAACATTTTACTTAGTTTTGTTCATGTAGGTGTTCATTTGTCTTTCCATTAAGGTCACAGTTACTCCATCGAGAGCTGAAAGTGTTGTTTTTCAATAACCGCAGTGAGGATCAGGGCTCTCCTGCTTGAACCCGTCTGAATCATCACTCTATTTACTCCCTTTTTTTTTTTATGACACTTTTCATATGTTTCAGTTACCTCGCAACAGGATCAGTTGTGCCTGACCATGTGACGTTCTGGGCAACCTGCAACACATCTGCTATATTTAGTTTGAGATATCCTATGACATATCAAACTACAAGAAGATTTTCCCAGCTAGGACAGTTGTACTTCATGGTTTCAAAGGAGGTGTCTTAGTTAACTTGGGTTAACCCTTATGTTGTGTTCGGGTCTCCCGTTTCAATTTAGAGTTAGGGTTAGTAATGTGTTTTGGGGCCATAAAATTACAACAGGATTGTACGGTTATGAATGCATAATAAGTTAGTTATGATGTCGTTAAAACAATATTGGATGATAGTCATTATTTTTGAGTGTTTTGGACTGAGATAAATCAAAATGGACCCGCGAACACCATGAATGGTAACAGCTTTCGAACACAACACAACATATATCAAATAGGCCTGGTTCTCTAATGTCATTGTAAATAATTTGTAAAAAAGAAAATGTTAAAATCCTAATTATGGCTCAAAGTCGGCAACAGCAACGGTTGTCCATCCTCTTCTCATGAATGCATTACTTTATTTAATTTATTTTAAATACTTAAAAGTAATATGCTAATTTCACACTAAATGTCCAATTGGGATAAAAAGATACATTTATTTTATTTAATGACAATAATAATTAATTTTTTATGGAGGCGCCTTTCAAGACACCTAAGCACACCTTAAATGCATTAAAAAAAAACATAACAAGTAAAAACAGCAGAATATGACGGGCCGACAAAAAAAGAGACATCATTTAAAAGCAGGCCATTTAAGACTGACAGGGATGTAAACTGCAACTCGACTCCTTGGTGGAGGCAAAAACACACGAGTCAGTTATCTATCTTTCAAAGGTGTAAAAGATGGGTGGTGGTGGTGTGAGGTCTAATAAGCAACAGGTGTAGACATTTTTAAAGATGAAATATGATCGTTTGGTTTGTGATTGCTTTTATGTGACAGCTTTGATGCCCAATTTGGCAGTCTGGAGCGTTGCCATGATATGTCAATTAACACAGGAAACAGGATGGCAGTATTCAAGTCCCAGGACAGCCGGAATAGCGTAATCCTGTCATTACGGCCCGATCTGACCCACAGGGCGTCAAATACAAACCCTTTCAGCATGGCTGTTGGATAGGGTGGTCCTTAAAATTGAAAGTCGGAAAGTCTAAGCTCCAACCCCCAGAATTCATTCTATTAGTCAAGAAAACTCTCCTGGTGAATTTTTTTCTCAATCTGACCTCATTTACCCCTCCCTCATTGACCTTGAAGTTTCACCCTGAGGATCCCAGAGAGACGCTTTTTCTCTGGGAATAAGTATTAAAATGAGAATGAAAATGAAAATGAATAAAAACATTCCTTGAAAACAAGTGCCATTTATTCCCAAAATGTTAGCTTATAACACACAACAACATGCAGTGTTTTATTCAGATTCAGATACCGTTTAATGCCATCTTTGCAATGAATACAAATAGGAACTTAGTGTGGCAGTAGGGGCTCAGTCATGGAGAGGGCCCTGCCGTGGTGCCCTTGAGCAAGGCACCGGACATAGTTTTCATACATCAACACAGGCTCACTATTTGGCAAGATGACTAAGCCTTATATTGGCTACCTAGCGAGAATCAACTTAGTGAGCAACAGATACCATGCTGGCTGATGAAGAAGACGAAGTAAGCTAAGTAGCCAATATAAGGCTTAGCAGTACAGATAAATGTGGGCTCACTATTTGGAAAGCAACCGGTCACAGTTGCCCTGTTTATCTCATGTCTTATAAAAGCTTATTAATGATTTATAAAGTGTTCACAACCTAATTAATAAATGAATGACAAACTATTCGTAAACCCTTTATAAGGGTAGTCTTATTGTAAAGTGGTACCCAAAAATCTTAAGCAAAATGTCTTTCTACCTCAAATACATAGTCACACCAGCAGCCACGGCAACTGAGGCTAAACTTCAAGGTTGATGTGGGAAGGGTAAATGTTGTTGGAATTTGAATAAAATTCACCAGGAGAGTTTTCTTGACTATTATAACGAATTCCGATGGTTGGAGCTTAAAATAAATGAATTTGAAAAATGTACCTCTCACGAAGGACCACATACTGTTGGGGAGCACCGGGCTCTCAGCTAATTCCAATGTTTTTGCCTAGTGATATCTTGAATTGTTTTGACTAACCTATGTCACATCATTCATCATTTAAATAGTTGTTTTTATCCAAACCATGATCTTCTTTCATACCCTCATAGCGTTGTTGTGTTGCCTAGACCTTACGACCACCGTTGCCTTTAAGACACTCAACAAACAGCAAGGAGCCTTTATGTCAATTCTCTATAATAACACATGAGAAATACTTTACATACCAAAGATGACAAACACATCAAATGATAATGATAAATATATGTTGCAGCACAAAATATCAATGGCATTACAAAGTATTTCTAAATCGATAAAGTAGGTATTTTGATCAAATTCAAGACAGTTCAGTTTAATCATTCTAGTTAAAAGTACATATAGTCTCACAGAAAGCTGCCCTTTTGAATCCCCAAGCATCATTGACACTAAAATGAACACATTCACCAGATGTTAGCCCTGGATATTCCATATGAAAAACGGTGAACCCACGAGGGAGTGATGTACAGATTGAAGTAACGAGCGATCGTCCTTCCAGAGGCAGATGGTACAGTGTGAACCACCTGAGCCCAGACGTCAGCATCCACAGTTTGTGTCTTATTCTCTCCTGCTCCTCTCTCCTCTTCTGCAACACTAAAACTCCATCTGGAACACAAAGACAATAACATTAAACAACAAATTAAAGAAAATATTTGTAATACTTAAAAATGCATGAAAATCTTCCAGTCAAATCTTCTCTTATTTACAAAGAATACATTCGATATTTTGTCTTTTTATATATGGAATTTGATATGAAAGAAATTGTAGAATGTATCAATGAATCATTATTATGACATATAATCAGATTTATTGTCAAGTAGACCCTATTTTCCAAGGATTTATTTGGTGTATTCGGCACCGACCAGTTACATTAATATAGAATAGAACAAATTCTAATTACATTTTCTACATTGTAACTGTTTAAAAATAATAGAGCTACGCAGGAATATGCAACTCAAATATTCTAAGGGATGTGCAAAGTTTCACAGTATTAGAATTAAAGAATATGTACAAAGATAACAGTTAAAGATAATATTAGGGGGTTGTTGGTGTGCCAGATGCTGCAGATGGAAGATTGTGTGGCTTGAGGTTCTTGTCAAAAATAAATAGCCTTCTGCCAGAGGAGAGTGAGTGGGTGGGTCCACTAAAAGAATACATGTCAGTGTGAAGACAAAACAGAGAAAGGGCGTTTAGAAATAAAATGGTCTATAATTAATTCAATAAATGACGTCTAATAAATGTTGTGAAAACGAACCATGAAGAAATCAAATTAGTTCATTTTTAATCATTTATTTATATTATATTTCTGGGTCTCTATACATTTGCACCACAAAGGTAGATTACGGAAAACTTTATAATGTACTTTTATTCTTTATTTTATTCTGGATAATTGAGCATACAAGAGGACCGAAACACGAAACACCTCCACTTTTTATAATGGTCTTTTTCTGACAATAAATATAGGCCTTCATAGGTTTCAAATTGACTTCGAATTGGGTGTAGATGTATGGGAATATGTAAAGTCGTTTTATAGATAAAATAACAGCATGGTGATGGTCACAGGATATAGTGTCTACTGCTTAGGAGGGTCTTACAGCTGTAAAACGAACGATGCAGGAGATGGCGATGATGAGGAGGCCGATGATGATGGAGGCCACAGAGACGTAGAGAGCGTTCCTGCCGAGCCGCTTCGACCCGTCGTAGTCTCCAAGATAATAGTTGTTCCTAGACTGAGTATAAGAAATCACTGTCACACATCAAACGTGTCAATACAGTGAAAGATTTTACTTTAAAAACTGCAACGAGTATTTGATCAGCCCTGAGGAAGCCAACTCATGTCTCTACTTCAGGATCTGCTAATAATTAGTTCAAACTAACCACATATTGGAAACGTTATTATCTCATCTGAAGCTTACAAACATGGTGGAAGCTGGTAACATGGTTTCTTGGCTATGTTTATTTAAAAATCCAAAAGGCCTGCAGACAGATCTGGAAACATAATAAAGCGTTAACATTCGTTTTAATTTTTCAAAATGGGAGGGTTTATAAAATGGATGGGCACAACAGGTGTTTGTAACTGCCTCGTATTATAGTGTCTAACACCTTCACATACAGCAACACATTTCAGAACACTGATCAATTGAAACACCACATTACAAATCCTTATCTATATCTATTTCTCTTCTCTCTGATACAGTTGTTCCTATATTATACAGAGCAGTCGTACTGTAAGATGATGTATATTCAAGAAATGCTCTGCTCACCATGATAGAGAAGACCAGGGCCACGATGTTGACAGGGTACGCAGGACAAAAGCACGTGAAAATACTCAAACAAAGGTAGCTGCGGAGTGGAGGTGGAGGTGGAGGTTCCTCTATAGAGCCTCTGTCCAAAAATACACTTCCACTAAGGGAATTTTTTACTTGCGAATGTAGCACTCCAAGAGCCATTGTAACTCAGAGAAATGAAACACAGTCAGGGGGTGAAACCCACCCAAAAAGTTACAAAAAAGACAGAATCCAACTCTTTCTTTATCAGAAAATGTTGGAAGCCAGAAGTTCAAAAGGCTGATGGATTGGTCTGACACATTGCGTAGTGGTTGTAGTCCTCCTTTGAAGCTGGGAAAAATGAAGTTTGTGTTTATGGGGAGCGGGTGGGAGAGGATCACTCACCCTGCTGGCCTCCATCCAGGACACTTTGCTGAGAGAAGTGTGATGTATCGGACTCTGTTTACCGCTGCTGGCACCTCCCAGAAACACACAACATGCTGATACATGGGAATGTCAATAGTTCAGTGCCATCTATAAATCTTATTCACACAGTACAAGATTTACAGTATACAAGGCTCAGAAATGTAGCTGTAGCATGTAGCCCTCTGTTTGTTTCTCTGGAAATGAAACAGTTACATTTGATTTACATCTTGAATGTTTTGTCAGTGTAACTATTTACTTATTTTTCATTTCACTCGCATTTATCTCCTTGAGCTTGCGTACAGACCTGGGTGACATAGTTAGAAAAGGAACCTATATGGTTTTAACTTGAAATGTTTGTTTACTGAGATCTTTCTGATGACAAAACTAGTGATTCAGAATCGTTTCTGCTCTTCTCTTAGGAGACAGACAGAAACTAGAAAAAGACAGACAGGATTTGACACGATGGCATGGCCAACAGTGTGTGAATGTGTGTGAATATAAGTCTCCACTGAGCAGGTGGCATCTTGTAAGACATAAGATAAGATAAGATGGAACTTTATTAATCCCCGTGGGGAAATTCAGTGGTTTAACAGCAACAGGGTAAGGATGAAAAACAGGACAGCACAGATTAATACAATTAAAGATACAAATAAAAGTGATAAAATACTATGAAATAAGAAATGAATTAAACATCCTCTGCCTCTGCATGAATGTGTGTGAATGGCGCTAGGAAAAGCGCTATATAAATGCAGCCCATTTACTATGAACCATTCTTTAGGCTGAGGGAAGGCTCTGAACTATATCATGAAAATGTCCTCTGCCTCTGACAAGCCTCATAGCATCTTCAGGCATGCTTGATTGGCTTTAGATCAGGAGACCTGGTCAGATAGTTTATTAGAGATACATTCGACCTCAAGGAAGGTCATGGACAGCGAGCTGTGAGGGGACTGTCATTATCTTACATTAGGATGTATTGATCACCAAGGATCCAGGATTGTATTGCGGCCTCTTACAGCCGTTACACCTCTTTGGCTGATTATAGCTCTGTATGAACACCCAAACTGTATCAGTATATGAAGCAGTAAACCTGCTCTCACCTGTGAAGAGTACCAGCCTCCAGTGACGGATTTGTTCATTGTAATTCAGTGAATAATTATCTTGCTCGAATACCATATTATAAAGTTAACTATAGTTGCAAGGAGCTCTACTTCTGCGATGTCAGAGACACTGGTAGCATCCAGGTAATGAAAGTAGCAGAAGTTCTATTCCTTACATGTTGGTTTGTTGACACAGCTGTTCATCATTTTCACCCTCCAGACTATTCAAACATGAACTCTAATGTAGCATAACGCAACCCCTAATCACACAGACAGTGCACACATACTAAACTTTATACACCAGGTGTGTCCTAGTTCAGTTTAGTTTAACCGTTATCGCACAACCTTACAGAAAAATCACCACAATGGGCAACTTTTGGTCTGTATCCCCAGGACAAATCTGCTTGGGGAGGGATGTGTTTTAAAAAAAAATACCTCCACTTCAAATTTAGAAATGTTAAAACCCACAGCATTAAGTTTTATTTAGAGAAAGACCACTTTATCAATTAAGATTGCACATCGTGAGATATTATTGTACCTGCATGTATAACCGTTCAATAATAATAAAAGGACAATGACAATCGAACGCTTTAGAATAATTTATTAGGATTTTAAAATTGAAATTATCAGAAAAATAAAACAAGGAAAAAAAAGCATTGTTGTAAAGCTCGGCGGGGGACAGCCCGAATCTTAAACTTGAAGAGACCCAAGCTCCATTCAAAGCATTGGCCCTTTTCTTTACATCAACACAACAAAAGACATCATTAAAATCAATATACAAGGGGAACAAGATCTCAAAACAGAAAAATATAGTTTCTTTTTTTTTCTTTTCTGAAAATAAGTCTTAATGCCGCAGAATTATCCACACGTCTGCCATTACCAATAATAGTACTATTTTCATTTGTAAGGTAAAAAATAACTTATTGCTTTATTGTAAGTTAAAAAGTTACAGTGTTGGTGTCCAGCAGTAGTTTTATGTCGTGTCCAAGGCGGTCTGACAGAGGAACTTCTGGCTGGATCAGGACGTTTTCTGCTGTGCTGAACATCAAACAGGCTGCAGCAAGAAGGCTGAACAAACAGCCCACTTGTTTTTGCAAAGGTTGAATTTGTTCCAGCTTTTTGAATCTTCCTGCCAGCCAGTGTCGTCTGTTCTGAGGTCAGAGCCGACTGGGAGCGAGACCCTGTTCCATTTCTGGTTCCCTGCCCAAACCCCCTCTGTTCACCACTACAGAGCAGCAACTGTATATAAACAACAATATGTCGCTTCCAGAGGAGCACAAATTTAACAAACCTTAATATGAAATGGGAGAGAGTCGGGAGAGAAGAGCAGATGAGCCGCAATGGAGCAGGGTGATCTTTTTTTTTCTTCAGTACCAAAAAAAATGGCAATCAAATGCTCCTTTCGTTGCCATAAGTAGTTCCATATTACACCTTAATGTATGCGCACAAACACTCACTCACACACTCAGACGCAATCACATGCACCTTCAATAGCGATAAGAGGACAGAACATGATTGTGATGTTTTCTACAATTGCTTCTCTGAGAATGTCCTTCATTTGTTTTCACGGTGGAGATCACCGCATAAAAGAATAATAAAAAATAAAATAAAACAATAAAAAAAAAAACACATTAAGAATTGAATCGCGCAAAAATATATATATAATATTTTCAAAAAAGAGGAAGTCAAATCAACCCCCGACCCCGTGAACCCCCTGATTTATCCTGTTAAAGGTTGTGATTCTTCCGTAGTCCGTCTTCTAAACCTGTTTTCATGAATATGTGAGAAATCTAGTTCATCCATGGTGTTAAAATGATAAAGTCAAAGTTGCTTTTTTAGGAAGTAGAGCAAACAAAGTGATGAGTTTGTGAAAAAACAGTTATTTAACCGAGCAAATGTGCCAGACAAACTCCTGGAAGTTATATTTCGCAGCAGTCGACAGCGGTGCACTGGAGCTGACTGGCCGACAATGTACAAATATGCTATATGCATACTGATAAATGAAGTGAGATGACCACACATAGTAGTAGATGACAGCCAATAAAATAGCTGTTAACCCTTTCCAAACCACCCAATGACATGCGGGCCGGTTCAGTAACCCCTCCACCCCCCCCCAACCCAACATTTATGTACAATATCTTACAGGAAGACATAAAAACATTGCTTTAAAACCAATTACAGAATAAAATACCTTACAGATCATCATTATTATGTCAATATTAATAACAATATTACAAAGGTTTTGTTTTTAAAGACTACCAAAATATACATTTTAGTTGTTTTTTGTCATGTTTCCGTGAGTTAAAAAGAGGACTTTGTTGGATTTTGTTCTTCTATTCTTAAAAATGGTTTTCAGACAAAGATCCATCTCACACGGCTTCTTCTCTCTCGGTTCACATCAGTAACAGCGTTGAAGGATTTCATGATGAAGCGACGTGTCACATTAAAATAAAACAATAATAAAAAAAATCAAAATAGTCCTCTGCGAGCTGTCAAATGACAAACGTCTCCTCAGAGATTTTTTTTTTTCTTTTTGCAGTTTTGCAGTTTTGTTGTCTCAGCTTCAGAAAAAGATCATGGGTAACAGAAGAAGAGGGGGGTCTAGTTATTACACTACATGAGGACAAAAGAGGAGAGATGGGGGACGTTATGTTGAAGTGAGATTAGTACAGCAAAACAGAGTTCAGGATTTTAAAAAGATATTCAGTCGGTGGGTGGAGCCACAGGGAGCCCGGAGAGCCGGGAGGAGCCTGTGGCCCCGGCCAATCAGGTTGTGCCATCAGAGGGCAGCCAGTATTTTTGATTGGCTCGTCAGCAGAAGAGAGGCCCTCCCATCTTCAGTGTCCTGAGTCGTCTCAGTGGTAGCCATTAGTAAACGCAGTAGCCATCAGGGGCCCCTGGGGATACATGAGGGGATATACTTTCTATTAGGCTTGAGAATAATACGTGCACCCATGCATGAGGTGAAGTGTGTGCGTCCTCGTTGTTGGGGCATATGACTTACCCCTAGACCGTGACCAAACCCTGAGCTGGGGGCGGGGCTAGCTGCGCTGATGTAGCCGCCGACTCCTGAGTCCTGGTTGGCTGCAGCATACAAGTCAGCCATTGGTCCAGGGCTGCTGGTGCCCAGGAAACCAGCTGTGCGTGAAGGGGTGGAGCCTGAGAGGCAGAGGACACAAGTCAGGATCCAACACTAGAGGGCTTCTCACACACACACACACACACACTGAAGTCTAAAAATACTCTTTTATTTGTCCGAGCAGGACATTGTACACACATTCTACCTCAGGCGAGTGCATGCACAAGTACAAACATGATTCCTCTCACACACACGTACCTCTAACCGCTGCTGCTGCTGCGGCTGCTGCCATTGGTCCATATGCAGTCAGGGGAATGGCTGTGGGTTACAAACAAAACACATTTATTTTGCATTGTCATTCTGGATCGCTCTCATATCAGAGCATGAGTCACCATCTACAGCTCAGTGACGGCTGATTCGACATCTGTGCAAACATCTGTCATGTGATTTCAGTCCAGCTGGTGGAAGAGGCAACTTCTAAAACTAACTGCACACAACATCCAATCAAATCTGATATTAGACTTTTTTAAATAATAATGCTCATGATAAAAACAAGAAGGATTATAAATGAAGTACACCTCAAAGCCACTGGGTGGCAGTATTAAGACTGTTTAATCTTCTTGTTTATGCACTGGATGGATCCACACCCTAAGGCTAATAGTAGCCTGTAATTAGGGTGAAATAGGAGAACATAAGATTGTAAGAGGCAGTTTATACCTTTCCAAATTTGGTAAACTGCAACAAATTCAATTTAATACGATATTAAAAATGTATTTATAATTAGATTCTTTATGTAATTTATTTCAATGCCATAAATAACCTTTTTTGTATATAATTAATACACATTTAATAACAAATGTAAGTTTACATTAGGTTTGTATTCAGTTTATTTATGTCTTTAATTCATTTTTTTTATAATTTCACTTGAATTACATTTATTTGTAATCATGTTCTTATTATTTAAATTACATTTTCACCCTTCCTTATCTTATCTTGCTCTCTGCAGCTTTTGGAAATATGATCTGGTTCATTGTTCTTGTAAACAACCTTACTATTGTCATCGTGAACAAGACACCTGAATACATAGTTTGACATTTGAGGTGATACGCTTCTTTGCTTTGTTGCTTTCATTTGACTGTCTTTGGCTAAAAAGCTTTGTCTCTCTCTGTCCCATGGAGGAATGAGGAGCCACTGACCTGCCAGCTCTTGGGGGTGGGATGATGTCATGAGGGGGGTCCTCTCTAGATGGAATTCTAGAAACAGAGAAGGTCAAGAGAGAGCGCTTTGTAAATACAGTCACCATCCACTGGCCAGACTACAAAGCCACACACAAGCACAGCAAGTTAAACATCGACTGTGAGGACAGGCAGGAAGGTGGGAGAGGGGAACAGGAGGGGCCACGGCCAAATGAAAGAGGTTACATAAGTAGATAAAACAACACAGAACAATATAAGGGAAGCAGCCAAATAATGGGCATTTGATGTATTAAGATATTTTATAGAATGTTGGGAAAGACGCATGAGAATTTAGAAAGACGTCTTTCATGCTACAGCCATCACACTTTTCGGAAGACATAAAGAGAGTAAATTAAATGTTTGATGTATACAGACTTACCTGGGAATTGATAAGTGTAACCCGGAGCCATTCCAGCCATTCCAGCCATTCCAGCCATTCCAGAGTAACTGCGGCTGGTGTAGGTAGTAGTCTGGAAACCTGGGTAGCCTGTTGAAAAGAACATTAAATTATGGGTTTAGTTAACGTGGCAGAATAGAGACATGTGAAGACATAAGACAAATTATTAAATAGTTTTACCTAAAGAAAACGTGCCTACTAGGTATAGAATTTGAATAATACACCTTTACAGCAATCATTTTCAGCGTGCAACCATACATTGACATGCTGCACTTCCTGGTAGTCTCCTTTCAGCTAATTGCCTCCGCTCTAATGCAATGATTATTATATCATTATATTTTTTATTTTGTCTAAATTTGTCAAATTTGTTTGGAGAAACTACCAAACTCAGTCATATTTAAGGGTGCAAAACTTGACATTTAAAGAGTGTGGGTTCTCTTTCTCGTTATTTTAATCGGCCATTGACAGCTATTAGTTTCGCACTGAACCTCTGGATGAACTCACCAACTAGGGGACATATCATTATTAACGCTTCTACATTAACAGACTTGTTTCCTCTATTTCTTAAAGGTCTTGGTCACCAAAGGGGAATTAAAAAGGAACCAGACTAAGTTAATGTCTGGGTTTCACTGAGACTTAGGGGGCTACTGTTCGGTGTAGTAATGTTAAATGTCCAGTAGAGGGAGCCAAACCATCACCAACAGCACACAAAGCTCTCAGTCTGTTTTTCTCAATGAGGATGTTTTCAAACCATATTTCACTCCAGTGTGTAGAGCTCTGACGCCCTTCAGACTGTGACCTCTACATTTCTACATCATAAATCATAGCTTTGTTCACGTGAGATGAGCATGTAAGAATCAGCTCTGAGATTAATATAGACCAAATTTAAAAAGGCAATTTTAGTTGAAGTGAACTGGAATTTAATCCTTATATTTGATTTGTGAAATCAAAACATTATAACGTGTAAGGAGCCACAGAGGACATTCTGCGCGTGGCATGGTTTTCCTTTAGTATTGCAGCATACAGACAAAGAGGACTGAACTGGTTTACACTAAGATTTGCATTTAAAGGTGAAACTGGGGAAAGGTGTTTTTAGCCGGCTGCTGTCCATAAATAATGGGAAATTATTTAGACAAATTGCCATCAAACCTGTCTGGTGACAAATGTTTGGTAAACAGGCTTTGTTTTTAACAAACAAAATAAAAAAAGGTTTTCATTTTCTGGCAATTAGTCTGAATAACCTTTATTTTAAACACATTACTTATCGTGACATTAGGTTAATATGTTTTATAAAACCACCCATACATGTCTTTCTGTTGTGTTAAGTTTATGCAGCCACGTCTCCTTCAAAATGTTTTCCCATCTGTATTTTCTAGCAGATTACATTTGTTTGGACATATTCCAGATATGCTTCTAATCAAAGTCCAAGAACAGAGGTGAACGGGGTTCAATGGGTTCGTCAAACAAAAACAACACTGTCACCTAGGAAACCAGTGCTTGAGTCCTTTTTAAACCAAAAGTAAAGAGTGATTTATTTTCATTCATTCACATCTGTAAATAATGTAATAAAAAAAGTATTAAACACAACTACTTGTTTTTAAGCCAAACCTAACCAAGTCGTTTTTTTTTTTTTTAAATGTATTTTACAAAGCTAAACAACGCTTTACTTGATGCATTATTGGCAGAGCAGTTTAGCTGTATATGAACATTATTTCTTAGGAGACAGGGTTGGTTTCTGCTCTAAACTACAACACCTACTGCTTATGAAGAAAACCTTAGGGAGAACAGTGTGTTTGCTTTGGGTTTATATTTTTAGATCTTACCCAGCATGCCGATTCCCAGCATGAAGGCGTCCATCCCATAGGGCATCACTCTGGAGCGGCCTCTGGCTGAGCCTGTCGGCGTCATCACCTCCTTGGGCTGGGCTTTCTTACACTCCACCTAAAGCACAGGAAACCAACATTTATTAATCATTTTAATCAAAAATACAGCTAAAGACACAACTACACTTCCCCAACTCTTAAACACAGGACACACCCTGGCAGAAAACTAAAAGCAGCTCAAACAAATGAAATATATTATTGATGATGTGCGTACCATTTTGTTGTTGATCTCATGGAAGTGGATCTCACACACTTTCTCCACCACGTCTTCATTCTCAAAGGTGACAAAGCCAAAGCCTGGAAGACACACAAACAGAAACGTGACCTCTCTGATTGTTTATGTTCACGATGCCCTACAGTTTGTGACAAAAACAACCCCATAATGTTTCGTAAAAGCACAGAATTTTCCCATTTAAATACTCAAAACATTTGATCAGATTTGTTATTCCAGAAATGTTTTCAAACCCTACAGTAGATATACTAAGACCGTCACAAGCTCTTTTTTACCCCATAGAGCATAACGCTGTCAGACCAGGCGTGGCGTTCCCTGTCAATCAAGCTGTTGGCATCAGACAGGACAAGGCGTGGTTCACCAAAAAAACCAAGCCTAGATTTACTGTCCTCTCCATTATCACACCCAATTTCTCTTACTCCACCCCACGCGTTCTCTTCTCCCCCTTTCCTTATGTCTCATTAAGTCACATCCTCGCCTGTTACGCTCCTGACCCCGCACCGCGACCCCCAGCAGGAGCCGCACTTCTGACTCGCTGAGAGAAGACAGAGATAAATTGCGTTCTATCCATTTCATTTGAGAAAAGAAAACTGCATTTTCTTCACCCAGTGCCTCTATCACGCTGTTTCTCCTTTCCTTTCTAAGGGGCATGTTGGTAGGTATCCTTACTTAGTGTGTCGGCACATATTAACATAGTGTGTGTGTATCATGACCTCACATACGTACCTCTGTGTCTGTTGGTTGTTTTGTCAAACATAAGCATGGCATCATCAACCTGCAAGAACAAAGCAAAGAATAGATGAGCTTCGACACACACACACACGCGCACATACACGCACACACACACACACACACACTACACTAACACACACACATACACAGCATGGGGTGCCATTGTCCCTCTTTAGCATTTGACTAAGAGGGGAAAACAGATGGAGATTGTGGAAGGCAGAGGGAGGGGTGACAGGTGACAAAGGAGGAACGAAAAGGAAGAATGATAAATGAGGGGGGGGGGGGAAAGACACTTTATAAAAATAAAATGAAATACAATCTATCAAGGTGAAAAATAAGTGACTGTTCCCCGCTCGCTGAGGGAAATTCTTTCCCATTCTTTGCTGTCTTTCTCACAAACTCCTGTCCCTTCCCCCCCCCCCCCTTTCACACTCGCTGTCTTTCTTTCCCCTCTCCACAAAGTTTACTATTCCCATGGAGACCCTGTAAAGAATTTCAATTAGAAGAAAAAGCCACCCCCCCCCCCCCCCTGCTCTCTTCCCAACTAATTTCAATTAAAAGAATGGAGGGAAACGAGGAAAAGTGAGAGAGAGAGAGAGAGAGAGCATGTGACAGAAAAGGAGAAGCTGATAAATTATGGGGTGATAAAAAAAAAGATAGAAGGTGAAGTTTTGATGGAGATTAAATGAACATTTTGGATCAGAGACTGTAGAACAAAGTGAACCGAGGTCTTTGTCAACACGCTCGCCTTTCATTCTTCTTGTCCCTCCACTTTCCTTTTTGCACTCACTCCACTGCCCTATTCATATTCCTCCTCCTCCCCCATTTCTCTCTCCCTCCCTCACTTGTCCTTCACTGGCAGCAAAGTTAGCAGCTTCTGCTAAAGCTCTGACGTTGTGAGGTGAGAGAGAAGCCAAGGCCTGGGATCTCTGTGAAAATGTTGTGTTTTTTTATGTCATTTGAATGTATTGTGACAACATTTACAAAAATCTGCAGCACAGATCTCCCTACTTTACATGGAGACATGTGGAGTATGACTACATGTCTATTTTCATTAGGCAGCGTGCACTGAAACTCAAACCGGGGTAACATGAGTGGCAGAGACCGTCCGATTTCTGACCTTTACTTCAGATGATAAACACATCCTAGTTGCGAGTGAAAGGTTTTTAGATATTCCTCTCCAAATGATGATCAGGGAGAGGATCAAGGTTGCCTCGACACCCTCCTTGAACCTTTTAACTCTCATCCTGGTCAACATATAGCTCGGCCACACACACACCCAGAGCACCCCCCCCCCTCTCTCTGTCCTTCATTCAGATTTTACCCCCCTCCTTCTCCTTCTCTCATCTCATGCTTTCCACCCTTCCGGTCGTCCAAACTCAATGACACAGCAGAGGGTCGGGGAAACAGGACAGTAAGTAGACAGCTGCGAGCCAACATGTTATCATAAGAGTAGAGTTACACGCACAGCTAGCCCTCCTGTTAGCATTAGCAGCGTCTATTCTGGAAGGGATGTTTAGCGCAGCCAGTTCGAGGAGCTTTTGAGCGCCGAAGCCAGAGAGAAAAGACAATATGCCGTGCTAACGTTGTTCACCTCATTGTCTTTCATTTGAACACAATGGTGTGCAGGCTTGAGAAATATCCCGTCACGTGTGCGAGCCTATGCTTTGGTCGCACACCAGCCTCTGGCCCTTGCCAAAACCAATAAGAAGACGATCTCCGATGTCCACTGCCCGGGGTGCTGTAAGACAATCTGATTGGATAGCTGTGGGGGTCTGAGATTGGCTTAGCAGCAGATCAGTCGCTAACTAGTCCGCATGCATGCAGAGAGTGAAGAAAAGTTAAGGTCATATTCTCATGAAGTTCTGGTGTACCTTTAAAAACATGGCTCAGCTGTGATCATGCGCAGATCTTTTCCTAGAGCCCCATTAAAAATATCCAGTTCTTAGTGAAGCGTGCAGCTATTGTCCGAAGCGTTTGCTGACAAGTCCATTACACTTTCTGCGAGATTATGAAAGGTGGCATTCACATTTTTTCCCCCTTCTGTCTCCTCACATCTCCCTCTTTCATTCTTTCCTCTCTCTCCGGCCATCTCTCTCTAAACAGGCCAGCAGACAAAGTGTTCAGTCAAGCCTCATAATCGCCAGCTCACATGGGTGAGTGGAGTCCCAACTTTTCCCGTCTGCCCTGTCCATGCTGCATTTTTCATCTTATCCGCTCCTTCATTTGCTTTCTGCTCTGGCCTATTCTCTCAGTAGATTTTAGAGAAGAGGGATTTTAATGGTAGTTTTCCATGCAAGGTACTTCCAGGAATGCAGTGCACGGTAGAAGGATAAAAAGCGTGAAAACAGGGATTTCCTTTGGGTTTAACATAATTGACAGCATGAACAGAATGCCTGACATGATAATTATCAAATAATCTCACTGTTTTTAGTAGTTTAAACACAGGCTCTCAAGCTAAAAATAGATGAAGGTGTTCTTAACCCACACCAGACTTTATCCTACAAACATGGCTGTTGTAGTCCTATTGGCTTGAGGGATATTCAACAACAGGAGCTCAGAGTTAGGAAACCGCACATTAATGCATGCCTTTAGGTTTCAGTCCAAAACACCTGATGTGTCAACATAGCAGCCATTTCAGTACGGTCCGATGAAGTTTGTGTAGGTGCGTCTTCACAAGTACACTCCAAAATAAATAAACGACAGCAGATATCAAAGAGTTTCAGAAAATGCATAGTGCATTCTGTGTTTTCCTTTACAAGGCGGAGCCACAGTATGAAAATAAACAGGACGCCGAGTCTTACTCCATCCTAACCTGCACCTTGTAACCAGGCTCAGATAATAAACAAGAAATACCTCCCGCTCAGCAGGAATGCACTGTGGGATTGGCGCTATCCATGATACAGCTTTGGTCTCACGTGTCCAAACAGTCCAAATATTCCCTCATCCTGCGGAGGGAGTGTTGTCTTAGATATGAGCGTCTGTGATCACCAGGGAGAGCTGTTTCGCCACAGAGCTGCCATTTTATAAAATCACAAACATGTCACAACATGCACCTTACAATGAGTTCTTAAAGTGTGAAGGTCACACGTGTGATCCAAGACAACCAGGACCCACATCACAGATTTATAAGTGAATTTGAACACCTCAAATATGGTTAACAAGAGTCAGAGGCCAACTGAGAGAAAACACAGCTACACACACGGCAGAAGGAGGTTGGTGCTATTAATTTCTTCCAATCCATTAGGCCTACATTCTGAAGCGATGTTTAATTTCGGACTATTTTTATAGCTTACACCAACAACAGCACAGCCACACACTTAAGTGTTTGTGACAACTGGATCGCTGGCTGTGAGTCTTGCAGTCTGCACAAATGTATGCAAGCTTGCCTCCCATGGCAGCCATGCCACTGTCACACTTTCATGCACGCACACACCCTTCTTTCCATTCATGCAAATGCACACTCCTTAGACATTTTGTTTTTTAAAGGAAACAAAAAAAAAACACTGGATTACAGTGGGACAATGGGCGAAAGCAGGTCACCACGGCAACAAGCTGAGAGCAGGGTGTGTGTATGTGGGACGGGAGGGTGTCTGAGGTAGTGATTTGGGGTAAGGTGGGGGCGGTCGGGGGGGTTTGTTACAGGAGCAGCTGTTGCATGTGATTAGTTCATACTGAAGAGTCTGGACTCAAACACTCCCCAGCCTCCCAAAGTGGAGCTGGATAAAAAGTAACCTAACATGTCACGCATGATGGACACTTTCATACGTTTATGGCTCATCAGATGGCTGTTTTCCCCTTTCATAGCCGCTCTTTCCTCCTCACTATCTCAACATTCCTACTTTTCTCTGCCCTTCAACCCCTCAGAGCTCCCCTCCCTCTCTCTCTACAGGGGGTTGCTTCTTCCCTTTCAGACCCCCGCCATCTCCCTCTCCTCCTCCCCTCCTCTTGCTGCTTTTTTTTTCTTCCTGCCTCTCCCCGGCCACTCATCTGTCTCCACAGCATGTGTTTGCCTTTCACCAAATTTCATTCAAAGGAGCTGAACAGGACAAATGGAGAAGCCAAAAACACTGAAATGTGATTATAAAAGAGCAAAACAGCTAACAAAAGAGATAAACTAACAGACCAACTAATACTGTAGATGCACACAATCAATGAGCCAACAGGACTTTCCTTTGTTTTAGTTATTTCTCTTTCACTGTTCTCTTTTCCTTTAAATGATTGCTGTTGTAAATTAGGCCGCTTTTGCAGTATTGTGTCTCAACTAAAATGAAAAGCGGGCAAAGAATATAAAAATGGGCAAGTAAAGCTTTGGGGAAGCTGAGAGATGTGAAAGGTATAAGGATTACTGATTAATATAATATATCAAAGATGGACACAATGTTATAGCTGTGTTTCCCAACAAGGGTACCCCAGAGGCTACTTCTGCTGTTGCCAGGGGGTATGTGGAGAAATTGTGGAGTAGATTGTGAAGTAATTTGATAAAATTGAAATGTTGATGTCATATAATGGTTGAAATTGTGAACATAAGCTAATAGCAATGGATGAACGGTTTAAATAGTTAGTTAGTGGATTGAAATAGCTAATGAAAGAAATTGTAAACAGATAAGAGTGATTGTTAAACTGTTGAAATAGTTAACTTGTGGACAAATGATTGAAATAGCTTAATGGTAAATGGTTTAAACTGTGAATATTAGCTAATAGTATTGACTAAATGGCGGAAATAGTTAGCTACTGGATAAACTATTGAGATTTCTAAAAGGAAAATGGTTGAAATTGTGAGCTAAATAAAGTTAGCTAAAGAGCTAAAAAAGTTAGCTAGGGGAAAACAATTCAAATAGCTTAAGCTCTGATGGTAAACAAAGTGAAACCGGCTCTTCTGCAGCTGCAGGTATAAATGCAATCTAACTAAATCCACCTGAAAAAACAGTTTAATTATATAAAGAAAATATTGTAACATTCAGTATCATATCCACCATCATATCATTATTAGTTGATGTGAACAGATTTGTAACGTGATGTCGGGGGGGTGTTTATGAGGGGATGGTTTAGTTCAGTGTGACACAAAAGGTAGGAAAGCGCAGCACTAGAGATGTAAAAGGGAATGGCTACAAATAGATACCAGCTTTGTGTACAGTATATATATAGTATACCTTTCCAAACTGGTCGAAGTAATGCTTCACATCTTCGATGGTGGTATTGACTGACAGTCCTCCGACAAAGATCTTCTTTGTCCTGGTCACCAGCTAGCAACACAGAAGGAGAAGAAGAAGAAGAAGGCATCGTTTACCACTAATCACATTAGGCAGGGGGTGGATGTTGGTGATAAAGAGACTTTGTGTTTGTTGGCGTTTATTTAATCTCAGGGGTTTCTGAAAGCTCTTCTGAGCATTCAACCTAATTCACTTCAGTTTAAGATCTTTTACATGTAGGGTTTGGAGGGGTGAGCGTGCATACAGGTAACCTCTGTGTGTCTGCATCCATATGTGTGTGTGCCAGGACAAACATTAGTGTTAGTGTGTGAGTGCTTGTGTGTGTGTGTTTAAGATGTTGGCTGCTGACGGTCGGGGGTTGGGTAGGGTCAGGGTATTGGGTCACGGTGTCAGGCTGGACTAGGGGATTGCAGCTCTTCTTTGGTAATTTGCCTGACTCTAATCCCAGCCAATCAGGGCTGAGTGATGAGCAGTGACATATGACATCATCACTACGACTACTCGCCATTAACTCCTTCAGGGTGCACTCACCTTAGGCTGAGCCCGGCGGGGAAACGCCACCTTGGGGTCGATCTGTAGAGGAGAGATAAATTAGGATGAGATTTAAAGAGGAAACGATAAAACATGTCCGTCCTTTTCTGTAATGAGCCACACAATCCCAGGCATCCTGCTGTGGATTTAAATGAAGTTCTGATGTTTGATGAACTGTGACGATTGTGATAGGCCGGCGTATTACAGATATTAAGGGATTCTATTAGAAGTGAGATTTATTTGAAGTGAGCTTAACAATCCTAATGTTTGTAGATGCACTGCTCTTATAATGTTCATGATAACTGCAAGATAAACACATTTTTATAAACAAACAAAAACAAATGTCTTTAAATACTCATTATCTGGCCTTATTGAAACCAATTGTAAGCATCAAAGTGGTAAGCCTTCCCTTTGCCCCAAACTGGGATTTCATAACGGTACAAATGCAATGTTATCAAACCAAAGGAAGGAAATATCTCATATGTCAAATGATGGTGACATGTAGTACATTTATTTTGGAAACAATGCCCATCACAGTTCCTCAATGTCAAAGGGGATGTCTTTGAATGTCTATGTTAAGTTAAATGATATAAAACCGAGAAATAATTTTGCATGATTAATTACTTTAAAGGTAGGGTAGGTAAGAATGGAGAAACCAGCTGGAGTGCGCTAGAATTTGAAAGTACGCAGCCGAAAAAAATCTGCCCCTTCCTTCAGACTTCCTTACAGAGCCCCTCCTCCAACACACACGAACGCGCACATGACCAATGAGGGCACGAGATAAGTTTGTGCACAGATGGAAGGCTGACAGGCAGGTAGGCCATCCAGTTATTTTAGCCGGGCCGGCTCAGATGATTGGTCGTGCTTTTTACAGCGCCACGGCTTCCACAGATGAAATTGTTTTATGTATTTATTGTCAAAACATTTAATGTATTCATTGCTATCGGGATGTTAAGAGCATTCCATGGAATATAACAAAAAGTGTTTCTGAAGTGAATTACCTACCCCACCTTTAATGATTAATCGATTACCAAAATATTTCCCATTTTCTTCTGTCAACCAACAAATTGATTAGTAGGCCAATCGATGCAGCTCGGTTGCATGGCTAGGCACGAGTACATGTATATTATTTATTTCGTATGTTTTGTAACTAAGACCCCAAACAGAGTGTCTTTTCTTGAAAACATGTTTTTGAGCTGCTAATGGCTCAGGGTTTCCATAACCTCAAACAAATATTGCTGTTAAAAAAAGGTTCAACTGTAGAACAAATATTTTCCCCGTCTTTTCTGAGACTGCAAGGTATATTTCTTCTTACCCAGACAACCGCCATTACAGCTTAAGTACCTTTAAGCAAAGACACCAAAACTCTACCTTTTCCGGATATGATGTTCAGTGGCTGATCCTGGGCATGTGTACACAGCATTTTGCTCTGGGCATCAATGAACTATCACACTGTTAACTAACTAGAATTACAACACAGAGTCTCTAAGTCTGAAGCTATCTGAAGGCCTGCATGTCCAGAAATAGAACGTATGCTAATCTACCAGTATGTATAGTAGGCCCTTGTTTATGCAAGCCCCAAAAAATCCAAACACACCAGCCAAACAAACAGGCGTATGGAACAAAATACACAGTGAGACGTGAATACGTACATTCTCTAAATTGTGCTTCGCGACACAACTAAAAGCATTTGTATCCACAAACTAGAAAGAGCAGGGCAGTCTAGCATCGAAAATGAGCATAACATATTCTGAATACATTTTATACGGATATATGTTTTTTCTAAATCTCACAATCCAGACAGCCTCCATTTTGGATTAGTAAGATTTGACTGTATCCATATTTCTCCCAAGTGGAATGTCTCAGCAGTGGTCAAGGTTAGAGATAAAATTAGAAGCAAATGAGTTTTGAATGTGCTGGCCTTTTAATAATGCTAAATATGCAAAGCCTAGCCTGGCATTTTAAATTTGTGAGGAATCTCGTGTTATTCTCACTCAAGCTGACACGAGAGATGATTTTAGGTCACAGGACCTTGTAGTGTATTATGGTCTTAGAGTTCCATCTTTATTCTAATAATTGGATGTGAAGCAAAAGCCCTTGTGTCTCACACAGCCGCTATCAGAGGTATTGAATTGATATTGGCAACTAAAAGAGAGCCTATCAAATGGCCAGAAATACGCACTTATAATGTGAACAATAAAAGCGAGCGTGTTCATTCAATATTCTACCAATCCTTTCATCTCTTTGCTGTGATGAATCCCTGCTTTTGATGACAAGTCTACAGACTAAAATATCCTTCGAGGACCTTTAAGTACCACATATTTAACACTGCTTGGAGAGCTCGGCCGCTGTGTAACTAAGATGCAGCTGCAGCGTCCTTGGAAGGGATTGCAGAAGGTCTTTGCACCTTGAAGTGGGGCACAAAGACGAGAGGAGTCATGTCACCTCCAGCTGGTCTGAGCACAAAGACAAAGGTGACAAGGACACGCAAAGCCACTAGCGGCTATTGGCAACAGCAGTGCAACAACAGAGCGCACTCACAAACAATGACCACACTACAGCGTTTCTTACAGGATCTGCGCTTAGTGGCCCAATGTAATATAATAGATGTGTAGTGGCTTCATACTCTATGATTACCAGCACAGTGACCTTTGTACCACTCGCTTTTCACCAGAGAAATGACACAAATACTGTAGAGGGCTAGTATAGATCTAGCCATTTCTCTATACAACAGCACAACAGAAGCAAGACACGAAAAAGAAAGGAGAATCTGCAGTGACCTCTAAAAAATAACACAACAGCAGAATCACACTAATACACAAGGCAGCAATGTGACTATTCAGGATAAAATATTGTGCTGCAATATAATCAAAAACGCATATAAACTTTAGAAAAAAGCCCAGGTGTGGTTGGGAAAAAAACATTTAAACCAAACTAGAGGACAGGTGTTACCCTGAGGCCATTGTGCTGCGCAGACACAGACCGTGAGCTGACAATGACAGCAGTCACAAACCAACTCTCACATTAGACTAGACTGCAGTCACATACAATGAAAACTGTAAAATATCAACCTAAAATCTGTTTTCACAAGCGGATACATACAAACACAACAAGAATCCTAATCACTAAGTTTCACTAAATAGTATAATCACTGCATGTCGTGATTTAGAAATCAGTCCCCTTCCAATGTGTCGTTGTAAGATGCAGTTGTTCTTTACTTTTGCTTGGAAACAGTTATTTACTCTAAGGCTCAACTACCAGTGTTGGACAAGGCTGGACAATAAATCACTTTTTATAGCCAGTATCAGTAGAAAAATCACATAATGTAACCATGCTTCCTTCTTTTATTGGTGCCCTCGTGCTAGTTCAATTTTAATTTGTTAAACCAATGAATGTTGGAAACAATTTCCTTTCATTTTTTTCCCCCAACAAATAATTTAAAGTAATATCTTTATTTTGATCTTGTACGACTTTATCGAATATTTGTTCTCTTATTGTGCAGGCCCAATGTAGACATCATATCCCAAAATTAAACTTTATTAAAACGTAAAATAAAATAAAATGTTTTGATAAAATTGCTGGATTTGTTCGGCTTATCCAGCGAATGAAACACCTGACAAATCATGATGCGTCATCACATCAATGCGATGTTATCAGGGCAATTAAAGGGAAAGATCCCGTTGTATAAACTGTGTAGAGAAATAGGTAAAAAAATGTATGTCTCATGGTTTATTTTATCAAAAATGTGCACCCTAATATCACATGTTATCAAAACACCAATATGTCATAGCTTTCAAATCATCAAGAGCTCTTAGTCTAAAAATAAAGAAGGTTACCAACTATACTAGGTTAGGCCTAATGGAGTATCTGTAGTAGTGCTACTACCGCTACAGTCATGCCATGCTGTTAAAAATCATTCCACTTCAGCGACATAACAGAATATATCTAACATGTGATTTCTACATCCGGCTGTACTCGGACAAAGGCTATAATAAATGAAAACTAAAGCATCTATCAGACTGGCGGATTAGCCTTGAGGAAGACAGATAGGCCATAAAGCAAAAGGTAAAAGGACTTAGCCAGGTCACTGTTTGCAACACTCAGAAATAGCTCTTCGGAGGCTTGACATTTGAGAAGTCTTAATCAACACAGTGGGGAAAATGTATCCACTGGTGAATTAAAGTTGCTCTTTCCAGACTGACGAGGAAGAGTTATGACTGAGTGTTCGTGAAATGGTCTGACTAACATCCTGCTTCATGACATCCAACCTCCGCTCAATCTAAGCAGCACAGTGACGGCAGAGCCTACGATATGATTTTAGTGGTTTAGCTTTGAAGACTAATCTACGACCAATAGTCACCTCACGTGGCCCAGCGCGTCCAACAGTGTAACAAACTGAAAAAACAAAAATAGGACGTCAAATCGATAGATAGGGAAATAGAGGGAGAGAGAGAGAAGGAGAGTTAAGATGAGAAAGCACAGGGAGAAAGGAAAGGCATTCATTTGGAGTCGGCCCATGAGAAAGTGGGCCTGTCCAGTGTAGCGGTGCAGCAGGGCCGTCCCAGCAGGCAGCCCCTCTGATTTCATTAATTAACAGGACAAAGAGTACAAAACAGATGGGCCCGTTGAGGAACTGGGGCTCCCGAGCTACCCTTTACAGGCAGACATATACATACGCACTCACTCACAGTCCCTCGCAAAATGTAGCACAAACATAAACACCAACACATGTACATAGTGACACATACATGTAATTAAAAGGGCACAAAATAAAGAACAAACCAACTCACAACAAGTGTATTGCCATCACAAAGTCACATATAGACCTTTAAGGCCAACTCATTCTTGCAACAAAATGGCAAACACTGATGAAAAGGCACCACAGGCTGTCCCATTATGAAGATATAATCAATATAAGCTAAACAAAAAGCTATAAACAGAAAAGGAGACAAAAGGACTTTGGCATGTCAATGCATGCACGCAGAGAGAGCGAGAGACTCGGTTTGGGCTCAGGCCAGCGGGGTCAATCTGCACAGCTGAACAATGGCACAGTAATTAGTTAACGAAGCTCACTAATGAGGATCCCCCCCCCCCAAAACTCAAACCAAACCCCAACCGTGTAACCTTACTAGGGCGCCTGGCCAGGACGAGTGTATATCGTGACAATAGGGGGGGGTGGGGTTGCGGAGAGAACCCTGGATCCACCTTCAGAGCAGGACCAGGCTTTATCCCCTGATCTGAAGCCACGCATGGACGTTCGGAAGTTCAATCCAGTTTGTTTCCCTCAATCGGATTAGTTGCCTTACAGATCTATACTAATTACAGCACGGGAAGCTGGGCCTGCCTCGCTCTCCTCTCCTCCACCTTCTCCATCCCCCATCTCCAGTTCTGTCCACGTCAGCACAAACAGCTAATCTCCAGTCAGGAGCGAGGAGCCGGTGCTAGCATCTAAACTCTCCACTAACCAGGTGATTTAGACTGTGGTGACAATGGTGGACAGAGGCTTACATTATGTTGTTACAGTGCAGAGCTAAAGCAGCTAAATTAGCACCATGCTGATGACCACCACTGCACCTTCACAGACGACGGTGCGAAAAGCAGCAATTACCACCTACTGTAACACATTTGGAAAGAGGGCAGTCCTGTTTACTTGGTGTAAAAGGGAAAGAAAAAAATCTTCTGCATGTTTCCTATTTTTACAATTCCTTCTTATAAAAGGTGTTTTCATTTTATTGGCGTTACACTTGGATGAGGAGATATGTTTGGATAAGTACTAATAACAATTAGTATGTCATCCCACACAACTAGCAAAGCAATCTCAGGTATTTCTTACTTCACTGTAAACATGGCTAAAGAAATACAATTACAATCATAAGATTTAAACTACACAATAATACAATCATGTTTTTGCCGGACAATTTCACATAAACAACCCTCTGTCTCATCTGCAAACTCTAACGCTGTAACTAGTCTATACAATTTATAACTCGCTAAAATCTGATATCACCTTTTTCTGAAAGAATGAGAAGACGTGGCATTACGGCTCTCCTCTTTTCTTCCCGGTCAATTATTTCCTCGGAGAAAACAAATACCAGTTGTGCCCTTTTTCTCTGTCCAGAGAAAAACGACAGCACACTACTGCCCTTAGGCTACACTCTACCCCGGCAGGAAATCTAACCTCCTACCAAAACAAAAACCTCCCTCTAATAACAATAGACAACCTCTTTCATTTGTTGCTTTTGAATTCTTCTTAGGCCCACAGGTATTGACTTATATTCCATCAGTGTTCAGTTTGTTGCTAATGTTGATACAACAATTCTTCAAGTAAAAGGCCTGTAAATGTTTAATACCACTTGTAAGCTCTGGTATGAACCCTGTACCGGTTCATCTAATTTACTTCTCACCCGGCGTGTCCTTACACAGTACCATGTTGCTCTGTTACATCCTTTTAATTCACCTTTCCCTTGTTCATGCTTCAGGCCTTGTAGCTGACAAACCAAAGGCTCAGCATAAAAAAAGAAAAAATCAGAGCATCGCGTATTCTTCCTCATTCCAGGGAGGAATGTCTTTCTCAAATCTCCTGCTGATCAAACAATAGTTAGCCTCCTCTGACTGTGCAGAGAGGGGGGGGGCAGAGTCCAGGTGTGAGGGAGACACAAAGTACATAGAAATAAAATAATTAAATTGGGACAGGTGTTGGAGATGTTACAGAGAGTTTGACGCTGATCCCGTAAAGCTGCGTGTTATTAAAAATATTCAGTCCAGCAAGACAGAAAATGGCTCACACTTTACTCTACTAATAACATTTACTCTTGAAAGGCGTTTAAAATAAATGTATTCATAGGCAAAGAAAACTCAAAAATGTGTTGATCTGTTGCGGAATTATCTGCAAGACTTCTAGTCATTTTGCAACAGTAAAATATAATCAATGGAGTAGTCTAAGCTATTATTGGTATAGCACTTTCAAATATGAGAAGTTTGCAAATAAACTCACATAAAAATCTAAGGTCTTATTCCTAAAATGGAACAACAAAATGGCAACCCTGTTTATAAACCGCCTGGTAGGATAGTGGTAACACCCCCCCGCAGACTGCTGCCACAACAACCTGAGCAACCAAAGCTGCATTCGAGTGGTTACCATTATTACTGTTTAGCCTTACGTTGTGTTTTGGTTTATAATAGGGCAACGCCTAACCCCACCAGAGGCCTGCCAACCAGTGTTCCCATCACACACACTCTGGCTCTCTAAGACTACGTTTCATAGGTAATATGACTCAATGAATAACACTTTGCAGGAGCTCAAAACTTGCTTCCAAGCTGACAGATTACCAGCAGCAACGCTCATAAACCTCACAGCCACTGTGCAGAAAGATCCAACTTAACAATTAAAATTAAACATTAGAAACTACCACACGGATTATAATATTAGTATAAAGGTCTATCAAGACATAACATTATCCGTGTGTGTGTGTTAGAGCTCTGCTAACCAACCGAGTGTCTTAAGTTAATGCAAAATAGCTGAGAAGTTGTTATGGAGACATAATTCCCATCAGGCTGTGCACTTAAAGCACTGTCTCCTGTGACTGGCGTCACCCCCGGCAACAGGCTTGCTCCAACAACTAACCAACTCTACCTTTTCCTCCACCCCTGGGCTCCGCCTGCCTCTGAGCCACCAATTTTCACTCTCAAATTATCCTATTGTGTGTCTGTGTGGTTACGAGAGGCCACAACCTGACTGAAGACACACCCAGAGCCATTCCTACAACTCATCTACATGACCAAGACAGCCACATTCACACCTTCCACGGATATTTAAATCTGAGTCAGCAGCTTTGAGTCAAACACGCGGATTCACACACATCTAACCTGTCACTGGTTAAATTATGTAGCTAAAAACAAGCACAGTGTGTGCTCTGACCTCTGTGTGGGAGCCGATTTGTCCCGTTTACCCACATTTAAATCACTAGTGTAGGAGGGGAAATCACAGATCAGAGTAGTTGTTCAAACAAACAGAGCGTCCATTTCAATATTTGAATTTATTTGGACCTCACAACTCCTGCACACACACACAACTATTTTCTTTCCACTAACTTTTCCCCCCCGAGATTTACCACTAAAAAAACTAGTGCTGATACTTTTCTATGAGGAAAAAAAAGTAGAAAAAACTCTCTGCATAAACCCTGTGAGGGTTTAGCAGGGGCTCCTACCCCATTCAGGTCCCCAGGTAACCATGGCAATGAAGACCAAGAAAGAACGCTTTCATGTTGGCGCCCTGAACCAGGATTTGGAGGGGGAAATGAGCAGGGAGAGGAGGGGGGGGGTGCTCCAAAACACACTCCTCACTCAACTTTACAAGCCATACGGTGGGAGGCAAAATGCACCGGGGGAAGAAAAAAAACATGCTACACAGAAATTGGAAAAACCCAACATCCAGCTCTCCAAAAGGTAGAAACTCACCGTTTTGGAATCCAACTCGTGTCTGTTTTGCGCCAAAACCTTCTCCACTCCGTCTTGATCTGCGTATGTTACAAACCCAAAGCCCCTGCGAAAAAGAAAAATAAGAGAAATTCAGAATCAGAAATGCAAAGTTTGGACATAAACAGCCCCATGAAAGAGCATGAGGCATCCAGTGATAGGACGGCGGAGCGCACACGCCTCCTTCTTACCTCGACCGCTTGGTAACGGGATCCCGCATCACCATACACTCCTTCACCTCGCCGAATTTACAGAAGTACTCCTTCAAGCCCTCTGCGAACACAGCAAAAGGGGGACACGGTTAAATAAATCCGTAAATCTGACTTTTTTTCCCTACAGGCCCTGGTGAGGTGATGTGGCTGGAGAGAGACAATGGGGGACGGGCCGGACCACGTTGTGTTTGTGTCCCTCTCCAGAGACTGTACACTGGCCATTCAGCATAATAGCCCATTAAGGCCCTGCGGACCACAAACAAAGCTACTCGGTTGACGATCCATGTTTTGACAAGGCGTCCAGCGAGAACACGGAACAAGAATAAAGTGTATTCGTGCATCTGTCTCAGACTCTTACAATAAATGAATGGATTCAGCGGAGTGCAAAAACAACACGCAGACGTGGTCATCCATATGAGCCGAACTTGAGCTTTAACGCTGAATAATCGATCACCTTTACTACAAATGCCCTTCTGTTATTAGCAGTGTATTGAGCGCACAGGGAAAGGCAGACAGAGTGTGTGCATGCATTTCCAGTGTTAATCTCCCTGCATCTCGGCAAGTCTAAACCCTGAGAGCTGATCCTTATTGAATAGGAGGCTTTGATTTAACTATTTACGGTGTTTATTATTAACTTCGGGAAGGTAATATGCATGCTATATGTGTAGAGGAGGAGTAAACAGTAGGCTTTCATTCAGACTTTAAAGTAGCGTGCGGGACAGCTCACCTTGTGTCGTCTGCCAACTCAGACCCCCGATGAACATTTTGCTGAATGAGAGAAACACAAGCTGTAAATCACACAGAATAGCGCGCCGTCTTTCCAGCACATGCACATCCACATTCAATGAGGGGGGGGGGTGAAAGCTGGGGGGAATTATGTGTAATATAGCATCAATAAAGTAAGAAGAAAGCATCGGCCATGTTGCAAAGTCCCCAATCGGCCAGTCGGGGCCGTTATAATCCCCTAGAGAAGGAAAAAAAAGGAGAGGATTTTCCAGAGGATGGAGGAGAAGTTGCAATGGGGCCTGGTGGAGGAAAAGCAAGATAAATAAACAAACAAGAGGTGGTGGGGGGTGGGGGGGGAAACAGACGGAAAGCAGCAGTGCGTCTGTGTCTCCTTAGCTGAGTGGATCCATCCCACACACACATACACACACACACAGCGTGCTTGTCTTTTGTCTCGGCGCGGCTACGCTCCCGCACTGAACTCAACTAAAGTCCAAGGTGAACTCGAATCGGGCCGAGAGGCGAGCGAAATGCATGCGGGCGGTGTGAGGCTTTTACCAGGGGTCGTGGGGGGAGTTGTCCGCGCCGGAGGACAGGCTGCTCTGGCTCCCTTCCGTATCCATTCCGCTCTCCGCTGGTATATTCCCGCACTGTGAGGCTAGGAGAGGCAGTGAAGCTCCACTGCTGCTGCTGCTGCTCCAGACTCAGGGGCGGGCAGCCGAGAGGGGAGGTGGGGGTGGGGTGGCTCAGAAAGAGGAGGGGAGAGCGAGGAAAGCGCACACACACACACACATACGCAGGCATACACGCTCAGAGATAAGCTCCGCCTCTACCTCCTTTTCCCGTAGCCTACCCCTGCCTCGGACCTCCCTCCCCTCCCTCCTGCACGTTGCCTGCCGTTATTCATGCTGCCAGTGGCGCTTTTCTGTAGTGTTTCCCCGCCGTTCTTGTCATTGGTCGATCACAACAGCATGGCCCGTTAAAGCGTTTTGAATGTTAGGAGAATCTGCAGCAGCTTGCCTCTATTACAATTCGCAACATTATACAGAATGCACGAAAAAATATCTTTAAAAAACATTTTCAGAACACCAAAATAGAAACATATGGGTCCAGCATTATGCATCCATGCCAGATAGCTTTATAATTATTGACTCGTTCTGTTATTCATTCATTGCTCCACATTAACAGATTTCCAGCATTAGTTTCCGTATTGCTGAAAGAACATGATGTCTTCCTGTGGGGTAAGGTTAGGTCTCAGGTTAAATGAAGCATCTGTAACCAGGATACTCTCTCCCAACCCATTTAGCCACACTGGGTTATATAAAACAGGATGTGGATATGAAATCATTCTTGTAGCTTATAGGACAACAGGATCATGTTTTTTGAAAAGGGGTTTTTATTTGTATGTAATGTTCTCGTATTATGTGACGATAAATGAGATGAGTGATGCAATCTTTTCTGATGTGATGTTATATAATGTATTCAGAAGTAATGACATGTGATTTGACCATACATAATGTCATGCTATGTGATGATATATGATGTCATATTAAATGACGACATAAGATCATATGATGTCATTTGATGTCATACATAATTTGATGTGATATTATCATATCATATCATGTTATCATGTCATTTCATGTAATGTGATTATATATGACGTCATTTCATGTGATAGGACCTATATGATGTGATGTGATCATATATATATATATATATATATATATATATATATATATATATACATGTCACATGATCTTATATGATATCGTCATGTTATTTAATGTGTTGATATGATTTCATCTGGTGTTGTCGTGGCATGTGATGTAAACATGCTTGTGATCTGGATAAATATAATATCATGTGATCATATATGATGTTATCTACTTTATATAACGTAATGTAACGTAATCTGATGTGGATCTTATGGATGTCATGTAAGATGTTATGTCATAGTATGTCACAGTGTGTGTATTTTACTACTTTAGTCCAGCTCTCACCTCAACCATTACTCTGGTCCAGCGGTGACCCACCACATGTAGGCTATTTATCCCTTTGTAGTTGTATTATTGTCCCCTCCTGGGCTCATTTTCATCATCATCAACATTACCCTATATCCAAAAAAGTATTTCAAAACCCAACGCCACCTCTCTTTGTGACTTCCTCTCCATCCATCAATTATCCGGAGCAGAAATAGAACTAGTATCCACTTCAAGTATCTTGGAGTCATAATGGACTCGAACTTGACTTTTAAGGAACATATTAAGAAAGTATCCAATACCATTAAATTCAACTTGCAACATTTTAAACAAATTAGACCTTTCTTAACTGTCAATGCTGCAAAGTCATACCTCCACTGTATGATTCTATCCCACATTGAATACTGTTTGACAAATTGGTCGTTTGCTTGTGCCACAAACCTGAAACCAATAGAACAGCTGTACAAGAGAGCTATCAAGGTGTTTGACAGAAAGCCTTTTTCCTACCACCACTGTACCATCCTTGAAAAACACAATTTCTTGAGTTTTGAATTTTAAGTATTTTAAAAGTATGTGTTTTTTTTATAAATGTTTACATGGACTGCCCCCCCCCCCCCTTAGGGGAATTCATCCACAAAGAACACACTGGACGCTGCACTAGGTCAGAAACCAGAGGAGACTGTGAAGTCCACCGTAGACGGACCACTTTTGGACAAAATGTCCTCTCCATTAAAGGCAGCTCATTGTGGAATAGCCTCCCAACTGAGATACAGGATTGTCCCACTTTGAACAGTTTTAAAGGTCAACTCAAAGAATGGTTGAGAAACAACCAGACGTGCAATCACCGCTAAATGCACTTTAACACAGGGGTATCTCCTCTTGCACTTTATGCATCTCTTGTATCATCTCTTGCACTTAATATGTCGTTGCTGCTATAGTGTACTGCCATGTGGTAAATACTTGTGTGTGCTGCTCTTGCTCTTTCTGCATATCATGTATTTATTTTTTGCTATGTTTACAAATGTCATGTTCTTATATGTTGTATGTCAGGGACTACGGATGGAAATGAGCTCAAAGCTAAAATCCGGCATATTTACACTTGAAGCATTATTTGTCTAAAGTGTTCATTAATGTGCATTGTCCCTATTCAAATAAACGATTAAATGAAATGAAAAATCCTTGTCTTGGCCCACCCTCACAAACCACTCAGCCCACCTGTTCCTGCGGCCCAGCTCTCATCCTTTCCATCACATCCAAAACAGCTGTGACCACCACTCTACATCCTTCACACAGTTTTTACCCAATCACATCTAAACCTGATCTTCCCTCTCTCTTTCACCCCACGTGACAGGCTGTCCTAACCAGCTAAGTGCTAGATTAGCAGCATTACCTCTAAGTCAGTCTCTCTCTCTCTCTCTCTCTCTCTCGACCAGGGCAAGCCTGGTCAGCTGAGGGTTTTCGTCACATGCCTCAGCTGCTCGAACAAAAGTGAAACAAGTGTGAACAGTTATACAAAATGCACTTGTTTAACTCGTCCAATTATGACCTTCACACACCTACTATTTTAGATTATTGAAGTTGTTGTTTTTTCAGGCAAAGTTACATTATTATTACTATTACAGAAGCACATAGTGTCCTTTAAAAGATAAAAGAAAAGATTTTCCAGCATCACCATGATGATTTGTGCATGTGCTGGTTCTGAGACAGGCAGTGTTTGTGTGGGTGTGTGTGTGTGTGTGTGTGTGTGTGTGTGTGTGTGTGTATGTGTGTGTGTGTGTGTGTGTGTGTGTGTGTGTGTGGCAGTGGGGGAAGTCAGTGAGGGGAGGCAGATCAGGGGGAGGGTGTGACTCTGGCCTGCTGGACCATAGCAAGAGAACAGTATGTAGGACAAGGCCCTGCACTAGCTAACCTATCCTGGCGAGAGCCGTGGTTGGGCGTGCTTAATTTCTGCATGCATGATCAATGGCACTGAATAAAAAAAGAGAGGAGAAAGACAGCGTCATGGGGGAGGGGATGCACAAGTTAGAGCACTTTGATAAGGTAGAATAAGGCGAAAACACTTGTTATGATACTCAAAAAAGTATATTTACTATGTGTATTCTTAATTTAAACCAATACAAGAGAGTGAAGTGTGTAGTTAGAGACAACAATGTCTAGCTTTTGAGCAAGTTTGGCTAACTTTTTACAGGAGCTTAATGTTTTTCAGATTTTAAATCTGGTAAAGCATGTCTAAAAGCAACTGTTATACATTGTGGGTAGGTGATGTGTGAGAGAGGTTTTTAGTACGCTCACATTGCACTTTTTACTCCAGCCTTTTCTCTATCCCATCTCCCTCCCTCTGTCTTGTTGTCACTCTGTCACCTTAAAACACTGTGATAGTTTGTCCAACCCAAGTCTTCACTGCTTTTGTTTCCTTGACCACTGCTGACCCAGAGTGGGAATCCATTGTCTGTGAGCGACCTCTGACCTGCCAGGGCCTGGGACCTGCTCTCCACCACCCTCGAGGCACAGTGAAAGAGAGTTGAGAGGGGGATCAGGAGAGAAAAGGGTTCAAATGGCGACTTCTGAACATCTGACAAGCTAGAAGCTGAGCTGTATGTTTAGGCAGCAGCAGTCTTTAGAGCCAGGAGCCAACATTTGCATGTGATGCAAAATGTAAACAGGCAACAAGTAGTTCCAGGAAGACCTCATAGAACTAAACGCAGGCAATGGATAATGAAAAGGGATACGAATGGAATGTTTGTCGATGGATAAAGAAAACAGAACAAGCACAAAAAGTATTTAAAAGCGGAAGCCAGGAGGCCATTTTAAAGTACCCCGTTTGCTGTGGGTGTTTTTTCCACCTGGCAGGTGGCAAGCCAAAGAAATCATTACATGAGAGAGGAGAAGGGAGGAAACAAGCACACCTGTGGTTGCGGCAGGAGCTCCACCTCCGCTCTCCGATCACAATCCCTCCATCCCCCAGGGGAAGGTGTGGCAAAGGGAGAGAGACAAAGGGAGGAGAGAAAGGGAGAGGAAGGAAGAGATTGTGGGGGAGATTTACAGGCCTCATCAACAGTTGACTGAAGGTTGAGTTAACCTTTTATTAATTGTGCACACACACACAACAAGCTGGACTGGCGGTGCTGGAAGGATCCGAGAGGCTTTGGGCTTCCTGCGAGCACACGCAGACCACAACCTATTTACCCTGATGACACAAGACTATTTCTGTCTGTCGGCTGTATGAGTGCAAGCAGCAGCGGAGATCTACGCTGTAATACCACACAGACTGTTGGGCGGATAAACACAGGGAAATGCACACACACACACACAAAGGTTTCTGGTTACAAATCCGGAGAGACCTAACACTTAAGGACAGATTGCCAATACTGCACTTGCCACCATGGAGATTGGTAGGGGAGTCACAGTTTGTTATTGCACTGTCTATTCATCACTGCTGTACTGAGTGCATTATTAACCCCCTGATAACTAATTATCTGTTATCTTCCGTCACAGCTACAGAGCTTTGCTTGCCATGACATTCAATTACAGCATCCCTTCAATCCATAATGAGATGTTCATTCAAAGTTGTCACATACTGGCTCTTGAACTCTCTTGATTGACGGGATGAGAGTTCGTAAAGATAGTAGTGATGATGAATTTCTTTTTGGTACTTCTAAAATTACATTTTATATTTACCTGCCCCATGCTCTTGTTTGTGTACAACTTCCTGTCTGCCCTGACCTCTTTCACATTTGCGATGA